GGATTATAATCAATGTAATAAAACAAGGTATATGATTTGTTGAATGTAAAACTGATGATATGCCCTGTAAACTTTCACTCAATCCACAATAAAAACCTTAAAAAAAAAAGGCACCCTAAAAAAAAACAAAAAACACAACAACTTAGCAACCAATAAAACATGGGATATTATTTAATAGCTAAAGAGCTCTAGTAGCGCAGTGGTTACAAATCGGGCTGCAAACCTTAAGGTCAGCAGTTCAAAACTACCAGCTGTTCCCCGGGAGAAAGATGAAGCTAAGTTGAAACTGACTCCACAGCACCTAACCACCACCAAATAATAAGCTATTTTTAAAATTTATATTTTAACTATTATACAGATAGTCCATATTTTATTTATAGGTTTCTTGTTTTTAAACAATTTTGTAACTATCGGTTGCTAGATTTTTAAATATTTCTAACTATTTGGAGTCCTGGTGTGGTGCTATAAGGTAAGCAGGTGACCACAAGGTTGACAGTTTAAACTCACCAACCACTCCTTGGAAACCCTATACAGGGTCGTTAAGAGTCAGAACCGACTTGATGGCAATTAAACAACTAACAACATATAACTATTAGGGCTCTATAGGATAAACACTTGACTCTGAAACACTAGGACAGCAGTTAAAGCCCATCAGCTACTCCGAGTGAGAAAGACGAGGCTTTTTGCTCCTGCAAAGATTAAAACACCTCGGAAACCCTATACCAGATGGCCATGAATTGGAACCAACTCCATGGCACTTATTAACAACAAGAACATAGAACTATTATTCAGATAAGGAAATATAAAATTCTAATATACACTCTGACATGATGAGGCTTGAAAATATGCAAAATACATCAAACACTTGTTTTTAGGTAAATATTATACGATCCCATTCATATCAGCTATCTAGGGTAGGCAAATGCATAGACAAAATTTATTGAGTGTACCAGGGGCTGAGACAAAGACACAAGGAAGCAGACGTTGCTTAAGCGCTACCTGATGTCTATGTGGGGTGATAAAAACTTTTGAAAAATCATAGTAATAATTACATAATATGGTGAATATAATTAACGTCTCTGAATCGTACACTGAAAAATGGTCAAAATGGCAAAATTTTTGTTATCTGTATTTACCACAATCAAAATGAAACAGCAAAGCTACTAACCAACCACCAGCAGCACGAAATCTTGTCCTACTATGAACTGGGTTTATTTTTATTCTTGTTAAATTGGTCAGTGATCAGGACCCAAAGCAACAGAACAAACTGATTTATTTGTTCACAAATGAATGACTTGGTATTTTCACTCCATCTCTTACTAGAGATATCCTTAAGGTAATTTTGCTTCTCTGAAATTCATCCTAGACTCCTTTCCCCAGCAAAATACAAAACAAAACCCCTTTTTCCTGTTTCACTTTTTTTTTTCCTCAACAAAGGCAGTAAGAATTTTTCTTAAAAACTTTGCTTAAATGTCACTTCCCTCTTTCTATTCTGAAAACTGCTTCTCCTTCCCTCTGATTATTATGTGGCCATCCTCCAAGCTCAGCCTCAAAGTACCCACTTCTGTTCCCAGTGAACCAATGTGATCAGCCACTCGCCCATCTTTTTGCAGTGATCGTCCCCAACTGCTAATCTGCACCACAGTGTGTCAAATCTTAAGCCTTGATATCAACTGCCTATAGAAGTCACCACCACCCCCCTTTAAAAAGGAGTTCCAATAACATAGTGGTTAAGAATCGGGCTGCTAACTTCGAGGTCAGCAGTTCGAAACTACCAGCCATTCTGGAGGAGAAAGAAGAGGCTTTCTGCTCCCATAACGATCTACAGCCTCAGAAACCCAATGAAGGGTCGCTATGAGTCAGAACTGAGTCCACAGCATACCACCACAACCCCTTCTGTTAACCTTAAACTTACCATAAGCCTCTGGTTAACTTTATATTTCTCATTAATGTTCCTCACCTACCTTTCTAGTATCTACTCCACTGCCACACTTCTTATCTATACTTAAAGGGAACTCCACAGTAACACCTCCCCTCTTCTCCTCACTCCCAATGATGTTCCACACACAACTCATCTGTTCCCTTTTCCCTGAATGTAAATGCTTATTCTGTAAGTGTCTGCAGTATTTCAAATGACCATCCCCATTATTTACAATCAAGTCAAGAAAGTTTCTCTTTTCTCGGGGTCCTTTACTTCTGTACTATTTCCCATGTTGTTTTGTATGCCTGTTATTAATTACACTTTTCAATGCCAAAGTCATCTGATCAAGCTTTCCTTTTGGAAACTCTAATAAAATTCTCTCTGGATAACCTGAGATAGAGAGAATGACAGGTTGACAGGCTGCTATGCCAACTTTTAGTCAGACTAATACTCTTTCCCTGAAGCACCCAATGTGGGTAAGTCTTGCCACATGAGCAATTTAAGCTTAGACAGGAAGAATCATGACGAAAATAAATTTCCTTATTATTAGAAATTAAATATACATAACAAATAACTACTCACCCTTGAGGAATTTTGGCTCCAAGATTAGGTGGAGAATTGGCAGCCTGGGGAGTACTTTGCTGTCTTAGGTCCTTACTAGGTGGAGTTGCTGCAGTACAGCCAAGCAGTATCTCCTTGAAAACTGTTGTAGGAACAGACTGTACCGGACACATACTGGGGGAAGCCTACAAGATATCAAATCAACAGATATTAAAGTGAAAGTCCCCAGTTGGGAAATTACAAAATTCAAGATTTGTTTAGTTTAATACTAAACAAGTGTCACAGCATAACCAAATAAAAAGAACAGAACAGCAGAACAAGCAATAAAACATAAAATTAAGGACTCAGAACTAAAGATAGTAAACGAAATCATTCCAGCTTTTCACAAAACTTAAGTCTTCCTATAAAAGATCACAAGTTGATCTTTTTCAGACCTCTGAATAATACTTGTACCAGGAAAATGCAACCAGGAGGCTATTACATTAGTAATGCAATGCATAGAAAAGAGCTTCTAACTGACAGTTTTAAATGGTGCCAGCTTAACATGCATTCCTTTTTATATTAACCTGAGTGCCCACCATGCACCTACTGCACAGATTGGCAGGCAACCAGACTACATACGACTCTTACAGGCAGTAGCACCTGCTGGATACAAGTCTTTGCAAAGCAATACAGGTTGAGGGCACAGATGTTGCTCTCTTATGGTTTATCAAGTTACAAAAGTCATCACTGCCAGAAAAAATTTCAAGTCATGACAAGTCAAGACCTGTGGGAAAAAGTTAGACCATCATCTCATTCCTTTTTCATGGATTTTTATATCCACAAAAATATAAATATTGAACCCACTTACCCGTTTATACTACCCACAAAGTAAACTTTCATCTTTGCAAAGAAAAGGAAGAGATAATAAAGTCAGCTAAACCAAGTAACATCCACTCACCATTTTTACCAGCCTCTTCATGTGTGAACTTTAAACCAAATACCTTCTCAATCATTTCTCCTATACACCATAATGACCTTTACAGTTACCACCAAATCCAAATAAAAACTTGAGAGGAATCTTTAGAGTTCCTTCCCTCATCTTCTAATTATTATCTTTCTAAAATGGATGTAAATTTATCTTAGTAAGTTTTTTAAATCTTACAATTATAAATATATTTCTATGTAGCTTACTCAAGAATCTTTCTGAAGACATATACTGTAACAGTCTTGAAAAGACTGTCTAGTATTTGTTAAAAATATCTGAAGAACAGGAAGAATTTACTTAGTTGCTTTTAATGTTTTGGGACAGCTTGAAACTATTTTTAAATAATAAGTGATCTAATGATCTGATCATGTATTATACTGTTTCAGTCTGTTCAATTTTGGTTAAGTATTAGCTAAGTGTTTCACAGAAGATTTTGTATATTTCATCTATTTGACACATACCTTGGGATACGCAACTTTACCTCTCTAGGTCTCGGTTTCCTAGTCCTGAAAACAAGAAGATTCGATATACTGGTTCCTAAAAGTCTCTTTCAACTCTATTATTTTACAGTTTCCTGGTAATCACTTTAAAAGATTAGTCTATCAAATTGTCATTTCAAAATGTAATTCAAGGTTCACTTTACCAATCATCCCCACTCACATTATACCTTCCTTACTGTTTAGAGTTGAATTAATACAGTACTTTTTCTTAAATTACTCTCTTGAGCGTAACATACAGACATCTAGGTCTCAAATCTACACAGACATTTTTATAGTGCACTACACATATCTACTGAGAGCTCAAGTAAACAAAGAAATAAAAATCTCAATCTCTCTTGTGTATCTCATCAATGACCCAGCAAACTCTCCCCTTATTCCCCAAATATTTATGGAATCCATCCCTTCTTATCATGTTACCCCACCACCACCTCTCTCTGTGCTATCAAGTCAGTTTCCACTCACAGCAAACTTGTACAGGGTTTCCATGGAGCAGCTGTTGTGTCTGAACCACCGACCTTGAGGTCAGCAGTCCAATGCTTGTCTCATAGGCCACCAGGACAGTACATCTCTTAATTTACTTTACTTCCTTCCATTTTTGCCTGCACCCTCTGCCCTCCTACCCATACTTTACCACACAGCAATCTTTATAAAATATAAATCAAGTCAGCATGGCACTCCACTGCCTACAAGAATCCTATGTGGTCCCATTTTCCACCACTCCATTCACCTCATTCTACTCTTCCTCTTGTTCACCATGCTCCAACTATACTGGCTTCCTTTCCGGGCTTCAAATATTCTACACCTTTTTTTACCTGGGTCTTTGCTCTACCTGATTAGTTTTCCTGTGGCTAGCTGGTTCCATTTCTTCACCCTCAAGTATGCTCAAAAGCCACCTTATCAGAATCTTTGACCACTCTTTCTAAAGTAGTACCCAGAGCAAGTCACTCTCTAGCTTTTTATCATAGCCTCATATTTATATCTTTCATAGTACTTATCACACTATGAAAGCATCTTTATTTAGTTATTTATTGCTGGTCTTCCCTTACTGGCAGAGACCCTATTCTTGTGTTCACTGAACATTTCACAAGACACATAGCAGATGCTCAATAATAAAGACTGTTGTTGTTGTTGTTATGTGCTGTAGAGTCGCTTCCGACTCATGGCGACCCTGTACAGGGTTTCCAAGGTTGTAAATCTTCATGGGAGCAGAAAGCCTCCTCTTTCTCCCACGGAACAGCTGGTAGGTTCGAACTACTGACCTTGAGGTTCGCAGCCCGATTTGTAACCACTATGCTACCAGAGCTCCTTAATAAAACTGGCAGGAAGTATAAATGAACAAATGCTATTAGCACTTAATAATATTTTTAAATAGCTGTAAAATAAGTCTTATGAGTAATCTGAAAAACCAGGCAGTATACCGAGTGCCTAACACATACTAGATAGATATTTAAACATGGACTGGAAGGAGAGATGAAGGAATAGAAAGAAAGAGGGAGGAGGGATCAGTTTGTTTTCACAATGGTGATTCACAACACCAAGGAAAGTATTCAGACCAAGACCACCATAGTGGTTAAGAGTAATGAGTTTTGGTGTTAGACATTGGTTTGAATCCAGTCTCTAGTACTTACTGTTACCTTATTTAACCTCACATAACATCAGTTTCTTCAACTGTAAAATGAGAGTACTGAGACTTATTTTTTAGGGCTATGCTTTACCACAGTGCTTGGCACATAGCAAAATAAAGTTTAAAGATCAGCTATCTTAAAGCAGAAAAATACTGAGAAAATGTGTTAGAATTAGTGTGGAAATATGTTAGAAATGGTGTAACTTAGGAAGCTTTTCCTTTAGCAAGATAAAGTATGTCAATATGCAACTTAGCTAGTTTAGCTCAACAAAGATAGGACTCTAATTTCCCAACCCATCTTCACGTGCACACCTACGCACTGGCCTCTGACTTGACAAGTGTCAAAGTTACTTCTTACCTGAAGAGTTTTCCCTGAAGGTCTTCTATACCAGTCATGGCAATAGTTCCTCCCTGCCAGCAGATGGAGATAATATAATTGAGCGTATGATAGTATTCTAAAAAGGACACTGCTGGCTTACACTCCTCAGCAGACTCTTTCCCAGTTAACCAAGCAACATCAGAACTCTGAGGAATGTAGTCTGCTAGGCAGAGAAGACCTTCAAGGAGCCAGAAGTCCCTGGCAAACGGGTTTATCTTAAACCAAACATAGTCATCAAAACCTGTCAAGGAGTCAAGACTCCTGTCTACCTAATTCCAAACTACTGTCTTCCAAAAACCACCCTAAGAGTAAACGCTAAACCAGTTCAACACATTTGGGAAGTGAAAATAGAGTAAGATGTGTGCCAACTCTATTACAGGCATACCCTGGAGATATTGCTGGTTCCATATCAGACTACCACAATAAAGCAAATACAGCAAAATAAAGCAAGTCACATGAATTTTTGGTTTCCTAGTGCATATAAAAGTTATGTTCACACTATACTGTACTCTGCTAAGTGTGCTATAACAAAGTCTGAAACACTGTAAGAATTACCAAAGTGTGACAAAGACATAGGTGAGCACATGTTGGAAAATGGCATCGACAGACTTGTTCTACACAAGGTTGTTATAAACCTTAATTTGAGAAACAAAACATAAAAACACCACAATTCCTAAAACGCGTAATAGAACAAAGTGCAGCAAACAAGGTATGTCTGTACTGTACTCTCCTTTGGCTCACACAAATTAATTTAACTGTTCTGTCCTCACTTCTTCATTTGCTTTCCCAGCCCTCTTAAAATCTAGATCCGAACAGTTTTTCTAAAACTTGTATGATTACAAGAACACCCAAGATAAAAGAAAAATATTTACTGATATGGAAAAACATTCAAAACACACTATAAGTGAATCAAATGGACTACTGAAGAATACAATTTTCAGTTATTGTTTTTGTTTTTTTTTTTTTTCATTTTTGACGTTTCCATGAATACACAGGGGGAAAAAAGAAAGGAGTAAGACAGGAGGGCGGTATTCCAAACTATGAACAGTGAGACTCTTAAGAAGTAAGATGTTTCTTTTCTTAGTGCTTTCCAAGTTCACCAAAATCTCTAAAATGGGTTAACTTTAATTTTTTTTTTTTAATTTAATACCCAACTAAAAATCTACCGAGGAGCCCTGGTGGTGCAACAATTAAGTGCTCCACTAAGGACTAACTGAAAGTTTGTGATCTAAACTCACCTAGCAGACTCATGGGAAAAAGACCTGATGATCTGCTTCTATGGAGATCAGATCCAAGAATCCCTATGGGACAGTTCTACTCTGTCACATGGGTTGGAATTAATTAGACAGCACGTAGCAACAAGAAACATCAACTATCTCCACCTGTCTTTACCACTGGATCTGCCACTGCTTAAAAATGAGATCACTAATTCAGGGTTTCAGAGGTGAAATGAACACTTTTAAAACATCAAATTTAGTTTCTTTAGAAGTTTAGGCTCAGACGAGTTAAGGGGCTCATCTCCAGGCCTCATCAGTTCAGTAGTAGCACACAAACATATTGAGTTCCAATAGTGTGCTAGGCAACATGCTGAGCAATGTAAGAAATGCTCCTTGCTCTTCAAGAGTTTCAGTCAGACTGATGAAGATCAAAGACTAAAACCTTCAGTGTTGCAAGGAAATGTCTTCAGTGTTGCAAATGACATTTTGCAAATGTCTCCTTGAAGTTATACATTCTGTCCTCAATGTCTTTACCCATCACTGATAAGTTGACACCCTGGCTTCATTCTCCCACTATCCATCAGGATGCCATTCCTACTCCTTGGCATCTTCTCCAACACAACATCATGTTGCTGTACTTTTCATCACACTCCCAACACTCTACACTGATGCAGTAACCATGTCAGACAGTCATGCAAGTAACACACTGAAATCTATGAGAGCGGGAACTTGATGGCACAGCTTTATTCTTCCAGGTCTAGCAAGTTTTCTGCCTCTGACAGGGTGCATGCTGTCTTACCACTTTCTTATCACTCCTTTTAGTAGGAAAACAAATTTTAATTCTCTGACAGGTTTCTACTTTACAAAAGTACAGGCTTTACTTTATTAATTTCTATAATTATCTCTTCATTCTTGCTCTAACTTGAGCTTCCACCTAAAAGCTCAGGGCTATTATCTACTTGGTAAAAAAGAGGTATTAGATAACTTAGTTTACCAAGTTTTGGGACAAATATCAACTTCTCTAAACTGATGTTTTCTTGCTTTACCATAGATCATTAACAATTTCTCCAATGCCAAACACTGGCTGATTATTATTCTATTTCTCTCTTAGTTTCTGATACAGTGTATGACTGGACTTTTTCCTGTCTGAACTTGATTCTAAGTAGCATTCTCACTTGACAGACCTTACTACCTTACATCTCTGGAGGCTTCCTGTCCATTCCCTTCAAGAACAGGGGCCCCTACTCCGCAAGCTCAGCCCTTTTCTACACTGAGAAGCAATAGACAATATCATAAATGATAGTCTAACATTATCACATAAGTTTTCTAAACTAGAGTTCTATTCTACAGAACAGACGTTCCACTTATTCTACCCATTTCATTTGGTTGCTATTGTTGTTAGGTACTTAAAGCTCATAGTGACTCTATGTACAACAGAAAAAAACACTGTCCAGTCCTGCACCATCCTCACAATTACATTTGAGCCCATTGTTACTGCTATTGTGTCAATCCATCTCATTGGAGGATCTTCTTTCTTTCTGACCCTCCAACTTTACCAAGCGTGATGTCCTTCTTCAGTGTCTAGTCCTTCCTGTTAAACAAGTGCAAAGTATAAGACACAGTCTCGCCATCCTTGCCTCTAAGGAGCATTCTGACTGTACTTCTAAGAGAGATTTGACAGCTCTTCTGACAGTATTTGGTACTTTCGACATTCTCAAACACCATAATTCAAATACATCAATTCTTCTGCAGTCTTCCTTACTCACTGTGCAACTGTCACATCCATCTGAAATGAATGAAAATGCCATGGGTTGGGTCAGACCCATCTTAATCCTCAAACTGACATCTTTGCTCTTGAACACTTTAAAGAAGTCTTTTCAGCAGATTTGCCTCATGCAATATGTTGTTTGATTTCTTGGTTGTTGCTTCCATGAGTTAATTGTGGATCCAACAAACTGAAGTCTTTGGCAACTTCAATCTTTTCTCCATTTATCATGTTATTCATTGGTCCAGTTATGAGGATTTTTGTTTTCTGTACACTGAAATGGAATACACACTGAAGGTTCTTGTCTTTGATCTTCATCACTAACAATTTCCAAGTCCTCTTCAACTTTCAGCACACAACGGTGTGCCAGCTACGTATCTCAAATGGTTAATGAGTCTTCCTCCAACCTTGATGCCAAGCTCTTCATATAATTCAGCTTCTCAGATCATTTGTTCAGCATACAGATTTAATAAGTATGGTGAAAAGACACAACCCTGGCACACACCTTTTCTGATCTTAAACCATTCAGTATTCTCTTGTTCTGTTAGGTCTATGTACTTTAGGTCTTTAGGTCTATGTACAAGTTTTGCATGAGCACAATTAAGTGTACTGAAATACCCATTTTCATGATGTTATCCATTAAGTTCATAATCATCAATACAGAATGTCTCTGCATAGTCAATAAAGCAGAAGTAAACATCTTTCTGGTATTTTGTGCTTGCAGTCAAGATCCATCTGATATCAGCGATGATATCCCCAAGTTCATGTACTTTTCTGAATCCGGCTTAAACTCCTGGCAGTTCCTGTCAGTGTACTGCTACAACTGTTTTTGAATTATCTTCAGCAAAATTTTACTTGCATGTGATATTAATGCTGCTGTTCAATGATTTAGAAACCACTGAGTCACCTTTCTTTGGAATCGGGCACAAATATGGATCTCTTTCAATTGTTTGGCCAGGTCTTCCAAATTTCTTGATAAATAATGAGCGCCCCTCTAGTGCTATAGCAGTTTGTTGAAAGATTTCAATTTGTAGTTCAGTCATTTCCTGGACTCTTGTTTTTTCCACCGCCTTGGGTAAAGCTTGGACATCTTCCTTCAATACCATCAGTTCTTGATCATATGCTACCTCTTGAAATGGATGAACACTAACCAATTCTTTTTGGTACAGTGACTCTGGGTATTTCATCCATCTTCTTCTGATACCTTCTGAATCATTCAGCACTTTTGCCCATAGAATCTTTCAATATTGACAAGTCAAGATTTGATTTTTTTTGCTTTAGTTCTTTCAGCTTGAAAAATACTGAGCATGTTCTTCTCTTTAGGGAAGTAGTTCTACCTACTTCATTAGGTAAAGTTCCGCTTTCCTCAGTACTAACACCTAGTCTTCCACTAAATCTAACTGCTGCTACCTACCTCCTATGGAGCTTTCCATTGCCTCAGCTACAGTCTCACTGCAGGCTCATTTGTAACAGACAATCCCACTAACTCAACCACCACCCTTTATTCCGTCTTTCCTTTATCCATCACCTACAAAGCTTATGTCAATCTCCTAAATTCAAAACCCTTGAATATCCTGACCTCCCAACCCATCTACAATATAAAATCCTTTTCCCTCCTCTGATCCCACCTCCTAAGTCCAGCCATAATAAAAACTTGCTCTTCTGTGTATGGGACATGTTCTCATTCTGAAAACTTCTGCACTGGCTGCTTCTCCAAATCACATGCATAGCTCCTGTTCAACACTCTCCTTCAGAGCTTATGGGAGCCCTTTGAGGCTCTAGATAAAATTATGTACTTTCTGAGGCAAAAACTCCACATACCTTTCTGTCCCCAGGACCAAGCATCCAGCACATACTAAGTGTTCAATATTTCTAGTACCCTGATAAAATGTATTTGAAATTACTTTAAAAAAAAACTTCAAGGTAAAAATGAAAGATATTAAGACAGAGATATTCGATACTTTAGTTTGTAAAGTGTTTGGTCACATACCAAACTTCCTGTTGCCCAAACACAGGCTTATGACAGAAAGCCAATCAATCATCCTAACTGCCCAGATGCTTGTCCTGTAAGTTCAGTCAGCCCTTGATCTACACCCTAGATTCAGTGCTAGACTCGGATCTGGCCAACTCCCATGGCATTTCTCCTTCCCTTCCTTCCACAGAACTCAAATGCCTTGTAAAATGCTACTAACAATTTAAACAAGATCAGCTTAGGAATTCTTAGCGCCAACCTGGCACAAAGCATCATAGTGGTATTTTTGAAAATTATAATATAGAAAACTATCCATGTTGCTAGGTATCCAAACATTTGGATACCTAAGTTATTCTAACTGTAAGAGGTCTCTAATGATTAAACACATCTAATTAAGAAATATCTTAAATTTCTAGATCCCAATCTGCACTGTCTCAGTACAGAACTAAATCTAGTACTTGAACTCACAGTAGCATTTATAGAAGCCTGTAGTTTCCAGAGTTAAAAACACAAATGGCAAACTAACCTCTTCCTTTGACAAACTACTGTCTGATTACCCAATCGCAAATCACCAACCAAATTTCCTTTATTATTAGGAGGAGGGGTTCCTATTTTAACACCAAATCTACTCAAAATTCTAAGGTTCCCACCACCTATTCTCATGCCAAGCATTTTTCCAATTTAATACACATAATTCAACTTATACTAAAAAAGCAGCAGCATACAGTGAAATTGTTAAATCTATTGAGAACTTCCAGCAAACATCAAAAAAATTGAAATATTTTGTACACAGAAATCATGAACCAGAAACTTATATTATCTCCATCTGCTTGAGTGTAGAAATTATGGCCAAGATCTGAAACTAGCAAAGAAGAGCAGAAAAGACAGTAGAGAAGAACAGAGAAGACAAGGTTATAAACACTAATAAAACTAGCCATGCACTGTTAGAGCTAAAGGAAAGCTTTACGCATGTGACAAATATAAACCAAGGTTACCTCAGAGCAAGATTTTGCTTGTTTGGAAACTAGACTTCCGTTATTTTCAGAAGACTTTCGTTTTACAGCTCCAATTCTTGTAGAATTACCTAAAATATTTAAAAATCAGTTAAGTTGGCTTCCCTGTCTTCTTAATGTAAAAGGAAGAAAGTAGAAGGAGAAAAAACAAGTACTTTAATCAAGCAACATCTTACCACATGTCACTAATTTATCATGGATAACTTCAACATGAATCAGGGATGGATCGACAATTTTCAGTGCTGGAATCTTAAAATAAGACAAAAATACTGGAAAATTGAAAAGTGCGTGGGAACCTACTGAAAAGTAGATCTATTACATAACAATAATAAACACTTTACTTTTTAAACAGGTGGGATTATTTGTGTCACAGTTTTAATCTGTTTTGATTTTAGCAGGAGCCCTGGTGTGGCCCTATAGGATCAGCGCTGGTCTGCACTTGAAATCCACCAGCCCCTCCTCAGAATCATATACAGGCTTGCCGTGAGTCGGAACCAACTCAATCGCCTTAATAACAACAATAGCACTTTAGTACATAATAAAGATGTCCTGCTCCTATGGTGTTGGTGATGGTCGTGTGCCACCAAGTTAGTGCTGACACATAGCAACCTTGTATAGGGTTTCCAAGGCCATAAATCTACTAAGGAACTACCATGAAGCGACCGGTAGATTCAAACTACTGACCTTGCGGCTAGCAGCACAGCTTGTAAGTTATTATGCTACTAGGGTTCCTTTGAGCTCCTACACACAGTTTTTTTTAATTTTTATTATCTTGCCCTCTCAAAGTTACCTTACAAGCAATTAACATCTTTACCTCCTCACAGTTCACTTGAAGTGTTTTTGATGTTGGGTTTCCATTTACAATGGTTGCTGAAAACCACTGAGTGGATGGGTCCAAGCTATAAATTCTTACTTCTGAGCCAACTAAGTTTTTGTCACCTTAGAAAAGAAAAAAGTATTCTTAGAAAACTTTGCATGTTTTCCAACAGCACCATTTTCCAAGACAATCTTTTTCTAAGTTATATATATATATATAAAATAAACATTATAAAATATTGCTATATGCATATAAGACAAACATTTCAGCACACCCAAGAGAATATTTAAATTTTTTACTTTAAAACTGTATTTCCCTATTGATTTATCTCAAGAGGGAAATACAAGAGTGGTAATGTATATTTTTTATAACAAGTTGTATCTGATCAAGCACTCCTAAGACATAGCTCATTGTCCTGCATAGAATTTTAGAGGAAGCAAATTCAGGAACTCCAAAAGAATTGGTAAGTCAAAGTAAACACTTCTGATTGTGAAACTGACCAAGCAATTCAGCAATAGTAATTGAGAAGGTCAGGATTACCAAATTAATGCCTTATCACTTTTGTATGATTGAAATTCTAAACACATCAAATTTCATATGAAAATATAGTTGTACTTTTTTAAGTATCTACTTTACTTTTAAAGTCCTGGTGTGGTGCTGTGGGTTAATGCACCAGACTGCAAAGTCATTTGAACTGTAAGGTCGATGTGTTCAAGCTCACCAGTCGCTCCCTGGAAACACTACTGACTGAGACTCAATGGCGCTTGACAATACAACAACTTTACTTTTATAGTTTCATATAGTTCCTGAATTTTCCAAACTTCAGAGACCTTACAATAGATTAATAAGGTACTTTAGTCATCTAGTTGCATGGGCAAGTCAAGAAAGGAATTTCTAAAATAAGATATTTCTATGAGGAAATGAACCGACTCCACGGCACATAACAACAACAACAATGAGGAAATGAATGAGAAAGGCTAAAGCTTAAGCTTTATACAAAGCAATCATTGGTCACGTCATAATTGATAATCTACATACCTTGTAAAAGATGACTTTCATCCAAATGTTTTACAATCAGAGACTGAAATTCTTTACTCACATTCTGATTATCAGTAAGGGAAAGTCGAAGATTGTTTACATCCTGAAAATCCAAAAAAACCCCCCAAAAAACAAAAAATCATTAAGTCTTAAAGTAATTAAGAATTGTTCAAATTCCAGTGGCTATTTCAATTAGTTTAATTAGAAGGGCTACTATAGCATCAACTAGCCATCTGATATTCACAAATCGTTGCAATACCAATGAACTGGAGAGGTCAAAAAGTAAGAAACCATCAAATGATCATAGTTAGGCACTGAAGTGAAGCCACCGAAAGAAAGCTAAGAGGCTGAGAAATACTAAGAGTGGCTCAAAGTGTAATTTTAACATGACATAAATACGGCTATGGAGTCCTGGTGTGGTGCTGTGGGTTAATGTGCCAGACTGTAAAGTCGTTTGAACTGCAAGGTCGGCAGTTCAAGCTCACCAGCTGCTCCTTGGAAACCCTATACAGGGTTGCTATGGGTCGTAATCGACCCAACGACACTTCATGACAACAACAAATATGGCTATGGAAAATATAATAAGCAAACAAACTGGGTATCAATCCAAATCTAAAATAATGTATTCCAAACTAAGATTGGGAAAATAGCAAATTCAAATCCAGGGGGTGAACAACACATAAAAATGTATACACATATACATATGAGATACACAACACACTGATTTGTACTGCCAATCCTTTGAAATTGTTTTCACAGAACAAATTAGCTCACAATGATTCAATTAACCTAAACAGCATTCCAAATACATTTTTCTTTACAAAAGGATGAGAGGAGAACCAAACAGATAATATGAATGAATAACCAAAGACTTTATAGTACACCAATTTCTGAACATTCAATTCTTGGCAGCAACTCCATTCTTGGCACTAGTCCACATATTTCTGGCTTTGTGTGCAGACCCAGTTAAGATAAATGTATACAGAAACTGTCAATAGGAACAACCTGCCAAACACCAAACTTTCAGCAAGGCAAAACAACAAAAACAAAAAACAGTGCTAAACATAGCACAAGCCTTCATACATTTCTGCCACTGAAAAAGGATAAACAGCAGCAAAGAATGCTTTTATCCGATTTTCTGATTGTGAAAGACAACTAATCTTTTAGAGAGAATGTATCAGAAAAGTACATTTCTTAATCCAACATTAGACCTAAACTAGGGTCTGCAAAAGAATGCAGCACTCATTTGGAGTTGTTTTGGGGTTTCTCAGGCATTTATAGCTAACGCAATTTAAAAAAAGTATGTACTCTAATTCCTACTATAAAATGAAACCGCACATTAAAGGCTCTTCAATAATGTACAGTAAATCTAATCTGCCTAGTTAGTTTTAGAATTCATCAAAAGTACCAGGTAATTACATGTGGCTTTATTTTTTTTTTTTCTTCAAACCAAAGGATATTGTTGTTGTTGTTAAAGTGCCACCAAGTTGGTTCTGAGGATAACTAACTCAAATTCAACCCACAGGCAGACCTTAAATTTAAATCCCAGCTTCTGATGTACAGTAAGCATCCTACTGGAGTGATTACATCTCCTAATCTCTCCAAGCTTTCATAGAGGCTTACTATGATCATTCATATCTGTAAAGAAGACCCAGAAGCAGTAAACACATAGTCAAGAGCACACATGCATTCCCCTGCAATTATTACTACACTAGTATATTAACAACATAGCAGGCCTTTGTTGTTAGGTGCTGTCCAGCCAATTCCGACTCAGAGACTCTATGTAAAACAGAATGAAATACAGCCAGCTCCTGAGACATCCTCAAAACCATTGTTCCAGCCATTGTGTCAATCTATCTTGTTGAGGGTCTTCTCTTTATCACTGACTCTCTACCAAGTATTTTATGTTCTTCTCTAGGAATTGGTTTCTCCTGATAACATGTCTAAAATACATATGACGAAGTCTTGCCACCCTCACTCACTTCTAAGGAGAATTCTAGTTGCACTTCCAAAACAACATCATCCATGCTTCTGCACTCTTAACCAATACCATAATCCTAAGATATCAGTTCTTCTTTGATCTTCCTTATTCACTGTCCAAATTTTCCCATGAATATAAAGCAACTGAAAATGCCATCACTTGAGCCAGACACATCTTTGTCCTCAAAGCGACATCTTTGATTTTTAACTCTTATAAGATGTCTTTTGAAGCAGATTTAACCAATGTTAATACATCATTTGATCTCTGGACTGCTGTTTTAATGAGCATTGATTGTGGATCCAAGTAAAATAGCCTAAAATGCATCAATTTCATGTCAAGCAAATATCTGCCTAAGAACTTAATGATCTAGATCTTTTTAATCTCCAGAAGCTATTCAGAGTTCTATCTAACTGGAAAGCTTTGATACATGAAAAAGATAAATCCAGAAAAAAATTGATTAGAAGTAAAAACTTTTATCAGTATAGCAAGGTATCCACATCACACTGCATGTTTCTTCCACCACTTGTCAGCTGGTTGTTCTGTGGTGGTTTGTGTTGCTGAAATGCTGGAAGCCATGCCACTAGTATTCTAATACCAGCAGAGTACAGCCACGAAGACATGTACTAGTTGAGTTTCCAGAATGGGTAAATAGAGGCAGATTACTTCTAAATGAGTCGGAACCGACTCATAGCGACCCCATGCACAGCAGAACGAAACAATGTCTGATCCTGGGCCAACCTCACTACCGCTGCAACACTAGACGCCATCAATGATGCCACCTGGCCGATCCATCTCGTTGGGGGTCTTCCTCTTTTTCTCTGACCCTCCACCTTACCCAGCATGACATCCTTCTCCAGCGACTGTTCTCTCCGGACAGTGTGTCCAAAGTAGGAGAGACGAAGTTTAGCCATCTTGGCCTCCAAGGAGCACTCTGGTTGCACTTCTTCCAAAACAGATTTATTGGTTCTTTTGGCAGTCCACGGCACTTTCAGTATTCTCCTCCAACACCACAACTCAAAGGCATCAATTCTTCTACGATCTTCCTTAGTCACTGTCCAGCTTTCGCATCCATATGAGGTTATTGAAAATACCATGGCTTGGGTCAGGCGCACCTTAGTCCTCAAACTGACATCTCTGCTCTTCAACACTTTAAAAAGCAGCAGATTTGCCCAATGCAATACGTCATCTGATCTCTTGACCGCTGCTTTCGCGAGTGTTGACAGTTGATCCAAGAAGAATGATCAACTTAATGCTTAGCCACTGAAAACCTATGTGTAGCAGTAAAAACTGCCAAACAGTACCAGAATATTGAATACTAAACACTATGAAGAGCACCAGAATATTGCCTGATATAGACCCAGAAGATAATCCCCTCAAATTGGAAGGCACTCAAATACAAGTCGGGAAGAGCGGCCTCCTCAAAGTAGAGTTGACCACTAGGATGCAAATGGAATAAAGCCTTCAGGACCTTCATTTGCTGACGGGGCACAACTCAAAATGAGGAGAAACAGCAGAAAGCATCCATAAATGACCAGAATTTTTAATGTACAGTTTGAATACAGGAACATTGAAAGCTGACCAAAATGATATGGAATGCACAAAGATCAATATCCTAGGTATTAGTGAGATGAAATGGAATGGTATTGGACATTTTGAACATGACAATCACCATAGGGTTTACTATGTAGGAATGACAAATTGAAAAGGAATGGCACCGCATTCATCATCAAAAAGGGACATTTCAAGATCTATCTTGAAGTATAATTATGCCTGTAATACGATTAATATCCATACGCCTAAAAGGAAAACCATCGTCCTAGTGTGGCACTGTGGGTTAATGTGCTGGACTGCAATGTCCGTTTGAACCTCAAGGTCGGTTTTTCAAGCAAGCTCACCAACCGCTCCTTGGAAACCGTACATAGGGTCGCTATGGGTCAGAATCAACTCAACAGCACTTAACAACAACAAAAGACCAGTTGGCACCACTACTGATGAAATTTACAATGTTGTTGTGTGCCGTGCAATCAGTTCCGACTCAGAGCGACCCTGTACAGAGTTTCCGAGGCTGTAAATCTTTACAGGAGCAGAAAGCCTCATCTTACTCCTGTGGAACAGCTGGTAGTTTCTAACTGCTATCCCTGAGGTTCGCAGTCTGATTCGTAACCACTATGCTACCAAAGCTCCTTACCAAACACTAAAGTCAGTTATAATGATATTGATAAATTCTACCAACTTCTTCAGTCTGAAACTTATCAAAAATACAATCAAGATTACTGGTAGTACTTGTAAACAGTGGCCTCGATGATAGAAATGACGCTGGAGATCATATTATAGAATTTTGCAGGACCAGTGATGTATTCATTGTAAATATCCTTTTTAAAATACATAAAAGACCACCATACACAAGAATCTCACCAAATGAAATACACAAAAATAAAACTGACTACATTTGTGGGAAGAGACGGTGGAAAAGCTCCATATCATCAGCCAAAACAAGGCAGGGGCAGACTGCTGGACAGACCATCAAATTGCTCATATGCAAGTTCAAGCTGAGGATGAAGAAAATTAAAGCATGTCCACAACTGCCAAAATAAGACCTTAAACATATCCCACCTGAATCTAGAGATCATCTCAAGAATAGATTTGACACATCAGACATTAATGAACAAAGACCAGAAACACTGTGGGATGATCAAAAACATCGTACAAGAAGAAAGGAAAAAGGTCATTAAAAAGATAAGAAAGAAGGAAGACCAAAATGGATGTCAGAAGAGACTCCAAAACTGGCTTTCCAGTGTAGAGATGTTAAAGCAAATGGAAGGAATAATGATAAAAGCTGAACCAAAATTTCAAAGGGCAGCTTGAGAAGACAAAGGCATGTATTATAATGAAATGAGCCAAGATTTGGAATTAGAAAACCAAAATGGAATAACAGTCTCAGCGTTACTTAAGCTGAGGGAACTGAAGATAAACTTCAAGCCTCAACTTACAATAAATACTATGTTTTCTATGTAAATAATAATGAATGATGCAGACAGCATGGAAGATGGAAGGAATATACAAAGTCACCGTCTAGAAGAAACACACAACATTCAACCATTTCAAGAGGGTAGCATATGATCATAGCCATTGATATTGAAGGAAGAAGTCCAAGGTGCACTGAAGGCACTGGGAATAGAATGAATACAATTTGAAGTCTTTCAACAAACTGATGCAGAACTGAGGCACTTACTCATCTCTGCCAAGAAATCTGGAAGACAGCTACCTGGCCAACTGACTGCAAGAAATTCGTATTGTGCCCATTCCAAAGAGAGGTGACCCAATGGAATGCGGAAATCATCGTACAATATCATTAGTATTGCATGCAAGTAAAATTTTGCTAAAGATAATTTTAGAATGGCTGCAACAGTGCACTGAGACTGAACTGCCAAAGTTTCAAGCCAGTTTCAGATGAAGACGTGGAATGAGGAATATCAACAGCTAACATCAGATAGAGCTTGGCTGAAGGCAGAGAATACCAGGAAGATGTTGATCTGTGCCTTACTGACTATACAAAGACTTTTGATTGTGTGGATCATGATAAGCTATGGACAAGATTGTGGTGAACAAGTATTCCAGAACACCTGATTGTGTTCATGAGGAACCTGTACGTAGACAAGTAGTCATGTGAACAGAATAGGCAGTAAATGGTTTAAAATTAGAAAAGTGTGTGCCAGGGTTGTATTTTCACCATACTTATTCATTCTGTATGCTGAGCAAATAATCAGAGAAGCTGGATTATATGGACGAAGAGATGGCATCAGAATTGGAGGAAGACTCATTAACAACCTGTGACATGTAGATGATACAACCTTATTTTCTGAAAGCAAAAAGAACTTAAAGACTTACTGATGAAGACCACAGACCACAGCCTTAAGTATGAGTGCACTTCAATGTAAAGAAAACAAAAATCCTCACAACTTGACCAATAAATAACATCATCATAAACAGAAAAAAAAGACTGAAATTGTCAAAGACTTCATTTTGCTTGGACCCAGTATCAACACTTACGGCATCAGAAATCAAGATATCAAACAACATCATTATTAGGCAAATCTGTTGCACAAGTCCTCCTCAAAGTGTTCAGAAGTAAAGATGTTAAGTTTGAGGACTAAGATGTGCTTGACCCAATCCATGGTATTTTCAATAGCTTCATATGCATATGAAAATTGGACGGTGAATAAGGAACATCATAAAAGAAAATATATTTGAGTTATGATGTTGAAGAAAAATTATTAGAAGTACCATGGACTACTAGAAGAGCAAGTAGATCTGTCTCTGACACGTCATAATTAGCAGGAAGGACCAGTGTTGGAGAAGGACATTATGCTTGCTCAAGTGAATGGTCAGTGCCAAACAGCAATAACACCAATGGAATGGATTAGCACAGTAGCTGCAGCAATGGGCTCCAGCTTAACAAGGATTGTGAGGATGGCACTGGATGGGGCACTGTTTCCTTCTGTTGTCCATTAGATCACTATGAGTAGGTAATGACTTGTCGTCACCCAACAACATGTTCCCTGGTCATTTGTTGTTGTTCTTAGGTGCCAATGAGTCATTACCGACTAATAGGGACCCTATGCATAGGTAAGAAAAACATCTACTTTTAAGGCCAGTGGCATCACTAGGAGGATGTGGACTGTACCCCTCTGATACTGTCAGAGGGTGAAACCAAAATGACCCCAGAGTCTGTAGTGGTAGCAGTGGAAAGACCAGCAGAGCAAGAGGTAGGGCCACCAAGGCAGTGGTGGCATTAGGTTTGTTGTCCCCATCCCCATTGAGCAAAGAGCGGGGACTAGCCTAGGCCAATAGGAGACAGGAAGAGTTTCAAGAAGCCACAGGGGAGATGGGATAGGGATGTGAGGGTGGGACCCAGGAATGTTGCCCATTATGAAAGTTTGCAGGTTGGCCTCACCACCTGGGATTGGGGTTGGAGATGAATGAATATACCCTGTGTTTACTGCACTAGGTGAAATCAACCCCAGTGACACCATTGCTTACAGACATCTCTTTGGTAGACAAACTACCAAGACGCCTACTTAACATATGACGAGAAACTGCACTGGAAATTAAGTAAATGCATCCTCGTGTATTCCGTTTACTTACGTTATAAAATAAAACAAGACTGAGAATCGGTTTTCCTTCACTTCCAGGATATGAAAATAAAACTGAGACTTTGTAACATGAAGTCAGCACCTTAGATTTTCCTATACAGGCCCAGCATTGGCAATGAACTAAACTTCCTTTTAACAATTAGGTTAAATAATTGTTCTACATGCTACAGAAGCAAGTCAGTTCAGTCTCTGAAGTCACAAAATAGAAGCAAATAAAGCGGATTATTAACCTCCATTAATGACATCTAAAAGATGAATGCTATTATAAGACCAACATTTTCCTTGAGTAGTAATCTGTGGGGATAGATTAAACTCCTTCTCAATATTTTCATAATGAGGGGGATCACAAATGAGTAAGCAAGACCCAAGAGACTACATGTTGTGAAGATGTTGAGAGTTATGAAAGCTATTGGAAAAAATAACATACATAGCTACAGATATGGACCTACTGTTGTGGTTAGGTGCTGTCAAGTTGATTTCCACTAATAACAACTCTGCAGGACAGGACAGAGCTGCCCAGTACAGCTTCCTTGGATGTAACCTCCATGGGAGCAGATCATCATAGGGTGAATTCCAACTGCCAATCTTTCAATTAGCAACCAAGTGTTTAAGCAGTGTGCCACTGGGGCTCCTTTCAGATACAGACATACCCAACAGACTAACAGAGAAGCTCTTTGCTTTACCTGTATAGGCTTCAAAAGGTCTTTAGAAAGAAACACTCTTTGTTGATCTCCTAGAAAGCGAATGGAAGTTATGGATCCCAAGCCAACTTTGTCCAAGAGAGATCTGTACATCTGTAACAAAAGAAAGTGGGTCTGGCATCATGACTGATATAATAATTCTGAAAAGAAGCACTGGCAATTTTACACACACAGAGAAAAAGATAAGGCCATTAAGAAGTGTTTTACGTACTGTAAGAATCTCATAATTATTTTTGCAGCCACAAAAATATTATACAATTTCCATACAAATCTAATAATTTAAGCTAAAATAAAATTGCAATATTTACTGAAAAGTAGCTCACTGAAAATAATTCTTGATTTTTTCTACTAGAGGAAAAAAAAATCATAGATTCAGTCTTCAAAATGAAAGGACTTTAGTTGCTGACTTTTAGCTATATAAAATCAAAATCCAGATTAATCAAAGTATTCATCCAAAATTAAATAAAAACTTGGAAACACACTGCCACATAAAGTAGTCTATATCTGCTGTGTGTTATAGAATTATATAAATGAGAGCAAATAATACATGAAAAACTTGAACAAGCTAATACTAACATCTTGATGCTTGCTTCCTACTCTATCATTATTTTCTAGCTCAGCTCAGGGGTTAGCAAACTTTTTTGGTCAAAGTAAATATTTTAGATTTCTCAGACTATACATATACAGTCTGTTACAACTACTCTGCTACTATAGCACAAATCTGTATATATATATATATACAAATGAATAGGTATGGCTGTGGTCCAATACAATTTTGCAAATCAGGTCACCATAGCCTGTATCTTGTCAACTCATGAATTAGAACATAGGAAATCTTTAAAAGACTATCAATCTTTAAAAGACTATGCACTATGAGAAACAATGGTAAATACTGCAGCATATGTAACTCTACAACAACAGTAATAATATCCCAAACTCTGTAAGTAGTTACACTGTAGATTTGTATGGTATGGAAGGCACATGTATGTACACACATATTTGTATGTGCTGCATAAATATACATAAATATAATACAGTACATAGGGGGCACTGCTATGGAAAATTCTTGTAGTTAAATGCCGTTGAGTAGATTCCAACTCACAGTAACCCCACATTCAGTTTCCAAGGAGAGACTAGTGGATTTGAACCACCAACCTTGTGGTTAGCAGTCTAGTGTTTATCCTACACTGTTCACACCAGGACAGTCCCAGTGCTGTCATATCTTGAACTTTTCAAAAGAGAAACTGGCAATCCAAATTTTTAGGTGTATTCTCCACATATATAGAAATTGGTAACTAATTCAAAATTTCTTAAAACACTGTTTTAAGGTTAAGTCTTAAAACAGATCGGTATGTTTACATATGACTTCTGACTTCTGATTTAAGACACTCCCCATGTTATCTTAAGCCCCATTTAACAAGTTAAGAAACAAGACAAAGTGAACTTGACCTATACTTGTGGGTGTAGTAGCTCAAAATACCAACTGACAGGGAAGGAGTCTTCACATCAAGGACCAATCTTATCCCCTCTGTATACAGGGTTGATAGAGATGGGCAACTTAGACACTGGCTACCTAAAATGGGGAGCGATAAAGGCACGAAGTGACTGGCTTACAAGTTTAGTTTCAGAGTGTGCGGGTGAAGGTAGAATCCCCACTGAACAGTTTTCATCTTATCTAGACAGGTCTGGTGAAAGGAGATGGGGATAAGGGTCTTAGGATTCAATAATAATTACTATCATGACTTCTTGCAGCTGTCACAACTGTAAAGGTAGAAGTTTTGTAACAAAAAGAGAGAAGGTAGTTAATCTTACAGTACAGGAACAAAGGACCATAGGACAATCAAGGGAGAACAGCACGAGCAGAATGTGGGACCCTATTCAGCAGCAACACCAGAGATGGAAGAAGAGATGAGGGCATGGAGAGACAGAGCAGCTGAAGACTCCAGATTCATAGAGAGAGAAAGGCCGTGTGCTGGCAGCCAGTAGACAGGCTTGCAGAATGTGCCCTTTGGTTGCTTAAATAATCACATATTCCTGAGTGTTTTTGTGTACATCCCTCCTCCTCCTAAAAAAAAAAAAACCCCAGAGGAAACAGAAGCAAATACTGTTGAATGGTAATGCATGGAGATTGTAATTGAGCATAAAACCGATGTTCTCCCATGTAAATTATCACTCAATTCACAATAAAAACTAAAAAAAAAAAAAAAAAAA